CCTAACCTGTTCTTCACAGAGATGAACAAGGGTGATGCTAAGGAGAAACTTTGTTACCGTTGGAAAAAAAAAAATATAAACTCTAGTTATCGTTTTAACAAGTTTTCCAGATTACCTTCTTAATAAAGATCTCGACGTTACCTGAAGTAGCCATAATGATGATCGAATAGGATATCTTTTACACATTAAGACTTAATGTTCCAAAGTTGATGGAACCCTAGTGCAAAGAACTTTTCTCTGAGAGTAGAGAATCCTTTTATAGGCATAACCTTCACCAACTTCCATCTATCATGGAGTGTTGGTTTTCAGCCGTTAAGAGTAGTTTCATCGAGTAGTGGATCAAAAGTAATTTCCCATGCATGAGTAGTTAACAACTCATATCAGTTTGTACAAATGACAACTGCATTTCATCCTTATCAATGATACTTAAGTCCAATTAGGTTACTTGTGACTTAGTATTAGGTTTTGTGGTATTCCACTTCACTTGTAAGTGAGAGGTCTTAGATTCGATTTTCGTCAAAGGCGAATTTGAAACTTATTTTTGCTAGCCTATTGTGAGGCTTAGCCCACTCCCCCACCCCCTTAGATAGGGTAGATTATATCATTTGTTAAAGAAAAAAAAAGTCCAATTAGGTTAAAACTTGCATTCTCCCACTTGAACGTAAACTAATTATTATATTGAAATGTCATGCCAATTACATCATTGATTCCTTATTGATCACATTTGTTGGAGTAAATATAGAAATATAGAGAATAAATTGAAGAATGACTTTGAGGTATGACTTGAATCGTTTTCTTAAAGTGTTACTAGCATATGGGCGCACACAAAGTGTGTGAGATTTTTTTATTTTTTATTTTTTATTTTTTTTGAAATAGAAGGAGAGAGGAAGAGAGTGATAGAGAATGTGAGAGTGGGAAATTTTTATTTTTATTTTATTTTTTGTTTTTAATTAGAGATATGTTAGGATTACATGTAGGTGAGGCTTAAAAAAAGTAAAATTTGGTTGTATGAAATTACATTTTTGCCCCATATGTCTTATTCATATTATGTTCTAATTAGAGGGTTAAACTGGTAATTTTATAGGATTTTGGTTGACAATGAGTGTTTTATTAATTAGTAAAGATTTGCCCCTACTGGAATGAGTTTGCTAAATGGTTATTGCCATATCACTTTGTTAACCCTAAAAACTACCAAGCCTACGTGGCGCGCAGGCTGAGTAATTAATAAGCTAACTACGTCATTCGGTTGTGTGCGGGGCGTGCCAACTCGTCGGCTGAGCTCGGGCGGGGAGTAAAATGTGTTGATGTCGCGTTGGGCACGCTGCTGACTTCTTGATCTTGTGACTGCGGGCGAGGAAGGAACATGTCTCGGCATTCGGGTTCTAAAGCCTAAAGATAAGGCTGCTAGTTCTACGAAGTTCAATATCAAATTCGGCTTACAATGTGCCGAATGTAGTAACCTGTAACACCTCACTTCGTCGATAAGGCTGATGAGATGACCTGCCAATAAGGATTCGAAAATCCTTCTCGACCGAGACTTGGATAGGTAATCAGTCGGTTAAGAAGCAGTGCTATTTATCCAAACTAAATATGTTTTTTGATCGGCTGATTCTACGACTCCAGTGCTGTTTATCCAAACTGAAGATATTGCTGGTTGCCTTCACAATGCTGTTTATCCAAACTGAAGATGTGTTGGCAGAAAAGGAAAATAAAAATCTCAAGGTTGTTGAGAGGTTTCGCGTAGAATGAGGGTTTGCGCAGGGCAATTTGTGTGTTGAATTGGTGGGGCCCCGAATATTGCATGGTGTCTTATATTTATAGGGACAAGTATACGGTCGATAAGTTCTAAAGTTCCACCATGCTACTAAAACTCTTCCACCGTTCAAACTTCGATCAAATCCAAATCTCTTTAGTGTAACCGCATACATCTTTATCATGTGCCCATGCGAAGGCAAACAGTATTTCATGATAAAACGATGTGCTTGATGAGATGTATTTCCATCTCAAATGGGACTCTAGGTTGATAACAAGGAGCCACGTGGGCTTGTCTCTGCCTTAGATGTCGCATGCATGCCTATCCCTATGCAATCTTAATTAATTCACATGAAAATTCACAAACCAACTCAATTTGATTGTTAGTCAACCATTCATCACCTGCAGCCGCGTACCTAAGCAAGATAAGCACCCACTGTTTATCAGAACATAGACCTTTGACCAAAATGTCTTTCATCCCAATCACTTCACTTCCATGCATACCATTTAATTTCACCTTTATCTCACTTGCTGACTATTTTAACCCTTATTCAACACATGAATGCACGGCATAATCTTCAAATTATAAGGAATCACGATCAGGATAATTCCAACTATTTAATTACCATGGTTTATCGTAACCATAATAATGTAAAGTAATTGAAAATCACCTTAATATTCACATCCAACGGCTTAGAACCTTGTTCATTTAGCGGTCTCGATTGCACGGACCGATGGTGCAAAATTGGGTCCAAACACATTTTCAGGATACAACAAAGTATGAAATATTCGTTTAGCAAAACTAAATTATATTCCTTTAGAAATAACTAAAAAGAAATTGTATGAATGCGATGGAGAGAGAAGAGAGAGCAAGGAAATTGTGTAGACAACAAAATTCTGAATGAATTAATCTTCTCTTCTTCCAATGTTAACCATATATAAAGAGAATTGCAGTTGTTCAAGTTAATTATACATAAGTTTTGAAGTCTTATTGGTTCAAAGAGGTCATGTCTGTTTGAACATAAATAAAGCATTATCCAAAAGACATTTCAAACCCCATCGTTGACTAATCTAACAAAATCTATTGTTTGACCAAAAAAAAAACATAAAGGTCATATTTGCTAGGAGAAGGGGAATTAGATCCTCTTTGGATCTCCTCACTGGGGATCGGGGGGATTAATTAAGATCAACCGTTCATCAAAGATTGTGAGGCTACAATTTAATATTTTTTATATTTTCAAAAGTAAAATAGACTCGTTTTACGTAAAAAATATATAAAAACAATTGTGACCGCACAATCTTTGATGAACGGTTATTATTAATTGATCCCCGGGATCCCCAATGAGGGGATCCAGATAGGATCTAGTTCCAGGAGAACGAATACACTTATTGACAATAAATCATCTCTTTTCAGGAAACATGAAAAAAATGCAGTGTTTAATTTGAAGAGATAGTTTCAATTTATTCCTTATTCTTCTTTGGAGTATATGGAAAAAAATGCAGTGTTTTACGTAAAAAAATGCAGTGTTTAATATCGTACCTTTTCTAAAAAAAAAAAAAATTGAAGAGATGATTGTTGTGCAATAACCTAACTCTATTTTCTGCCAATACAAAACGCACGCATATGCATATACAGATAACACACACACACACACACACACACACACACACATATATATATATATATATATATATATATATATATATATCTTGAAATATTCAACAACATTGAATTTCACGCTACTAGCATCCTCACATCTATGAGAATTAGTTCAAATCTCGAACTCCAGAAAATCAATTGCAGCTGATGGCACATGCACTCTAAAATTACAAACATTCAAGCCTAACCTGTATGATGTTATTTTTCAGAATTTAATGAATTCAACATTCATTCATTCCATAAACCAATCCAGTTTATCTTATGGATTATACTTGAACAAGAGTAATGCTAGGGAGACTAAATTTGTAGATTAAATTTTTAAAAACTAAAGGACATGAAAGTTAATGATTGGTTTCTTATTTAAGCGTTGATAAACGTGCTTATTCTTATTGGTGACACATACTTTAATTTGTAAATTTAATCTCCCTAACATTACTCTTTGAACAATCATGACTCACTTAATGGATAATAACCCATGAATTAATCATGTCAAGCTGTCATAACATAAGTTTTGCAACTTAAAATAATCATTGAGATTAAGTAATGCAAAGAGATAAGCGTTAGAGGGAGGTGGGAGGATTCACTCTTGCTATGCCGAAGGAAAGGCAACTAGGAGATTAGCAGAGGTTATGGAATCTGACCCAGCCACAACTCTCACTTGGCACGAGACACCGTATGCCACACAGAAGAACATTAGATTGTACCTAACTATCCTAGAGTCATCAATGGGCTGTGTCCTCAGCTTGGAGCTTTCTTCACCACTTCCCATAGCCTCTTCTCTTCCATTTTTTCCTCTTCTAGTGGCTTGGCTTGGTCTCGCTCCCTTCTTATAAGGTCCATGTCCCATTTACAGAAACTCTATCATTGTCAATAGACTCCAAGGACTCGTGTATTCCCATCCTTGTGACATGTTTTTAACACTCCCATTGATATGTTCTTTCCGCTTTTGCCCACGCGTTCGTATTGACGAACACTATGAGAATATATTACGCTGAAAATTCGTAAGTGTCACGACACAATAGTCAATAAAAGTCAATACTTTCTCTCGAGGGATATACACTTTCAGAGATTAAAATTTTCTAAATTTAAGGACAGGTCATAACACGTTTGTGTTAGAAAATCGTTTTGTTCAAATCGAACTAAATTGTGTATGTGCATTAATCGTTGATTGTTTTAGAGTGAATTTGAAACCGAATCGACTTGTGCCCAACCCATATTGTTAGTGCAACACAATAACAATATGTCAAAGAAAACATAACACATAAAGAGGCGTGAAACCATTTTTTTTTTTTCTTCTTCTGAACAAACAATATTATCTATGTTAAGGAGAGGAGATAGGTTTAGCTTCACAATGGATAGCAATAATATGGTTCGACTATAGTACTAAGTGACTATAACTAAGAAGAATATCACATGTTAAGTGAATAGCAATGTTCTTTTTTTCTTTTGTTTGTTTTTTAATTTGGATTCCCTTCTCCTAATTTTGTTTTTATCCTAATTCACCTCCACTAATTTTGTTTTTATCCTAATTCACCTCCTCTAAGTTTGTTTTATCCTAATTCCCTTCCACCAATTTGGAATCCGAATTCCAAATACCCAAACGCCCCCCAAAAACTTGAAAAGAAAATGATCGGATTGGGCACCTCCTTGGGAAAAGCGTCAAGTCCCGATTCCTATTTTTTGCCCTCCCTCCCCCTCACTGCCACCACCATCTCCACCTTCTCACTTTCCTCTCTCTCCTTCTCCTCCAACAACCTCACTGGTCTCACTCTCTCTCTCTCTCTCTCTCTCTCTCTCTCTCTCTCTCTAAAACTCCAAATTTGGTAGGAAACTGACGGCGTGTTTGTGAATGCAGGGAAGAGGAATTCCCGGAATTCAGTTTTGCGCCGGCAGAGTGCGGGCTTCGAGAGCGAGCCGGAGCTAACGAGCGATTCGATGGAATCGGATAAGGAACTTCCCGAGTTTAGCCGGAACCTGTATCCGAATATCGAGCCCTACAGTTCCGGGTTTCTTAAGGTTTCGGATATTCACACACTCTATTGGGAGCAGTCTGGAAATCCCGACGGCCATGTGAGATTGTTGTTCGAATTTGTAGTTTTTTCGGATACAAATTTGAAGTTTTTCAGTTTTGTTCACTAGAGTGTGATTCTTCAGTTATCTGAGATTTCAAATTCTGTCTTTTTAGAAAACGGGGATTTTTGAATCCTCGGAAAGTAGTAGGATATGGAAATGAACTCTGCTGGAGAAGGCGGCTTTGTGTCGAAAATACCATATTAACGGTGTTGGGTTGGGTTACTGGTCTTTGGTTTAAAATCTTGTGAATTATCCTGCAGCCTGTAGTTTTTCTTCATGGAGGTCCAGGAGGAGGAACTTCACCAAGTAATCGAAGATTCTTCGATCCTGAGTTTTACCGGATCATTCTATTTGATCAGGTTGCTAATTCAACCTTTATGATTAGTTATTAGATGCATTTTAGTTCGTCCTACACTTGATATCTGAAATTATTTCGTTATTACTAGAGGGGTGCGGGGCAAAGTACCCCACATGCTTGCTTGGTTGAAAACACGACATGGGATCTCATTAGTGACATTGAAAAGCTCAGGGAACACTTAGAAATTCCAGAATGGCAGGTCAGTAGGTTGTTTATAGCTTTCGATAAAGAAAAAGCATGCTTCTTTCATATTTCCGACTCTAAATTCATAGGATTTTGGTTATTTCATCCAGGTTTTTGGTGGGTCATGGGGGAGCACACTTGCCCTTGCATATAGCCAATCACACCCTGACAAGGTGCATAGTTTTGTTGATTTACATTTCTTTTGTTGGTATTCCGATTCTCTTGATACAGGTCATCTGCACTTTTTAATTCTCTACTATATGATACAACTTTTGACTATTCTGTCATGCTTGTATAGGTTACTGGAATTGTTCTTAGAGGGATTTTTCTTTTAAGAAAGAAGGAGATTGATTGGTTTTATGAGGGTGGTGCTGCTGCCATATACCCAGATGGTATGCTACAATTCATTTGTGTTGGCATGAACCATATAATCTACCTTATGGATTGCTCCCCTAAATTCTTATAATTTTCAAGTACATGTTCATAGTTTCTCAGAACCTTTTTGCACTGAACGATTACTGCACTGTTCTTACAATTGCATTAAACATATAAGAAGTGCAATTGTGGAATTTCCATTATTAACAAGGGGTTGTTGGAGGCTTGCGTTTCTGATGTAGTGATGTTAGAAGTTGATAGAACACGTAAATGATTCCTAGTTATAGAAATCATCAACAAAGAAGGATTTTTTTTCCCCTAGTAAATTTGCTTGATAATTTCATGTCTGCTATTTGGCATATTTATTAGTTTTATAGTGACTGATTGCTTCTGATGTTTTCAAATATCCAGCGTGGGAGCCATTTCGAGATCTTATTCCAGAAAATGAAAGGGGATGTTTTGTCGATGCCTACAAAAAGAGATTGAACTCCGATGACCAAGAAATTCAAGTAAGACTTACCTCGCTTTGGGCATATGCCGGCTTTCTTAAATAATGTTTTAAGGTCATCTTATTGAAAGGACCATGCTGGCTTTGGGCATTTCGTAGTATGCAGCTGCTAGAGCATGGACCATGTGGGAAATGATGACTGCCCATCTTCTTCCAAATAATGAGAACATCAAGAGAGGGGAGGACGACAAGTTTTCATTGGTACATTGATTTACCGATTAGTATAGAAGATCTTGCATAATTTATTCACTGATGACTGAAATTCTCTTTTGACGCGCTTTCCTGTCTCCAGGCCTTCGCAAGGATTGAAAATCATTACTTCGTGAACAAAGGATTTTTCCCTTCAGATGGATTCCTGTTAGATAACATTGATAAGATACGGCATATAAAAACAATGATCGTACAGGTAGGCAGTTTATTATTTCTTGAACCATCAAGGACATGCTCTGATTGGAACAGAAAACATTCAATCTTTTCAGATTGGGCTTTGATATTTGGGGATGTAATGATTTATCATATGTTATTCCCCTGTCATATTTTTGGTTTAGGAATCAGTTAAAGTTTTATAAGTAGCATAACTAAGACATCGGTGTAAATGGAAAGTGGAGTACCATTGCTTGCTTCCCTTTTCTTATGCATTTAGTTTGCGTATGATGCTTGCGCACCATGCCTTGAGAGATGAATTATTTCTTTATTTCATTTTTGTTTGTACTTTCCTTCTTGTGACCATCTAGTTCTCTCCCTCTGTAATTTTATTGTTTCCAGCAATAAAATTTGTTTCGTTTCGAATGAAAAATAAATAATATTAAGGTTTATAGAGTACTAGCAAGTTAGCAATTGAGATTTGATATTGTATGAAATTTTGATATTTTACTTAGTTATTTGATGCAAATTTTCTCCATTAGTACTATAAATGTGTTCCAACAGAATCTGCATATCCAGTACAGTTAGTCATTCGAAACATATGTTCTTATGTATTCCTTTCATTGTAAATGTAGTATCACTTGTGAGTTGAAAGAACTATAACAATTGACTTTACAGGGAAGATATGATATGTGCTGCCCCATGATGTCAGCTTGGGATCTTCATAAAGCATGGCCGGAAGCTGATCTCAAAGTAAGTCGGCCATTTTTTCTGTAATATGGTTTCAGGTTAATACAGTAAAGAAGTTGACTTTTTTCAAAGCGAGCGGAAAAATACTGTAGCTGCATGCCAAATCCATGGATAGGTCTCATCATTTACCAACAAAGCCAGTGTATTTGACATAGAAAGGGTTATTCAAGAAATATTTTATTTACTGATTGCATATCGTCCTGTATCATGAGTACTGTTATGCACTCGATTGATGAAGTTACTGAACCATTTTGCTCGTAACAGGTTGTTCAAGATGCTGGGCATTCTGCTAATGAACCAGGAATAGCTGAAGAACTTGTGGCTGCAAATGAGAAGCTGAAGCACATGAAGAAAGGACAATAGGAAGAGAGAGACGAGAATGCATACCAAAGAATAAGCAGCGGCCTTCCCGTTTGCCGGGTGCAGTTGGTTCCAGATGAATGCACATAATTGCATGGAGTATTTGAACTATTGTATCAAACTGTGTAATGTTTCCCCTTTGAGGATTCGGCTTTCCAATGCCCTGAAACCCGGAGGTGGGGAATTGGATGGGGGCCGTGAAGTAAACATTCTACTGATTAATACTGAATGTTGGAAAGGATATCAATCATTTCTCTTCTATTTCAAGAAAATTTAGTGCCAACAAATAATGAAGAAAGACAAGTTCCTCGTACTGTCGAGGTTCCCTAAATATTGCATGTTTCCTTTGAATGAATAAATACAATTCAAGCCTCTCATGTTCAATACACCCTTTTGCTTCCAAGGAAATAGACAATTCCCGCAACCAAATACAATTCAATGATATTATTGAACAAACCAGATATCACACAACAAAACAAGACTAATTTTGCTGTTCATTCAAAGAGTCGTTTTCCTTGTGCAGCCCTGCGCAGGCCTTCGGTACATCCAAAGAGTCGTTTTTGGGAACAGTTGTAGGCCTTCGTCCTCTTGACAATGACCTGGAAGGGGAAGAAGCGGAACCTTTGGTTGCCGGGGAAGAAGCGGAACCTTTCTTGGGTCTTATCTTTCTTGATGAAGTTTCCTTTATTACACTAAGCTGACAAGGTGTCCTGGAGGAAACCACTGCCTTCTTTCTACTTGAACCTACCCTGCAAAAGAGAAGGCTAGTACGATTAAGTTTTGATGAACACACATCCTCTGTCATTTGAGATGATAAATGACACCCTCTCCGTGTCACAGATCTTTGCTGCACCATTGGTGATTTAGTCCTTTCCTTTGATTTGTGTACTCTCTCAGGGCTCGCCCTTTCCTTTTCGTATGTAGAAACTTTACGTCTTATTGGAGTAACCACAGATGCTTTTCGTTCAAAGTCTGCTTTTGGGGTCTTCAAACAAGTAGCTCCCTTCATACCCTGCATAAATTAGATGAGCTTGGTCAGACCTCTACACACGGAACCTTCAAGAGTATGCTATTTCTATCTTCCCTATGACAACTAACTTACATTTTCTTCCAGTCGTGTTCTTCTGTCTGATCTCTTTTCACAGTGTCCCTGGGTATCATTTTCACGTTCACTTTGTCCAAGGCAATTTTTAGTTATCTGATCAGGAACGAAAAATGCATTAGCCTTGAGCTTTACTCATGACATGATAAAAAGGGGTAATCGAAAGTTCAATTACGGACTTACCTGTATCACATTCTGATGTTTGCTTGTGGACTTTGCCCCTGGAGTCCCGACTAATGTGATCTCCTTCAGCAGTGCATGAACTTTTTTCTCCGAAGTTGCTTCCTTAAGCATCCCTCTTTCCTAAAAAGAACCCAAAACATTTCAGATAAAGCATCAAGGTTATTCCTGTTTATTAAAGAAACTGGTCACAACAGGTTTCACATACATCGGTTCTAAACCTAAAAGGCTTGGGATTTGTAGGCTTCGGTTTCCTATACTTCACCCCTTGATCATTGCTGGCAGCAGATGTGGAGCTTTCTTTCGGAATCTTATCTGCTTGATTGACCTGCATCATTGTTCAAATGTTAACAGGCATAAAAAAACATGAGGGAGAAATGAATAAACATACACACTTCGAAGATATGATATTCTCGTATATTTTCAAGGGGTAATAAGAAGCAACCTTCTGTAACTTTTTTGAAGCATCATGCTTGCCGAGATTTATCCTCTTGGAATGATCATTGATATTCAGTTCTCTGCATCAAATGTCAAAATTTCATTACAATGGTGTTCTAAGAAAAAGAATATTTGTAGAAAAACGAACAGTAAAGATGTACGAGTACACGCACCTGTTCTCATCAGAGGCTGTATTATTTTCTTTATCATCATCGTCATCAACTTGTTCAAGGGTGTTCCTCTTCTCTGATCTTAACTTTGTTTTCTCTTCATAACCGTTTCCATTATTGGCATTTTCCTTATTGTAATTCTCTTTCGAATCCCTCTCTTCAGAACCTGACAAGGAGGTAGTATCACCGTTCAAGGTCTCGGATAGGATTTCAACTTGATTCTCACCATTCAGTCTACCACTCTGAGAAGTCGCTGACATGGAGAACCCTTCCAATGTACCTTTCCTTGATTTTTTATCAACTTCCATGTCACTGGAATCATTATCATCAACCTCTTCACGAGGTGCAGGATCACAATGTTGTTTCAAGTCTTTTTCCATGTTCTTTCTCTTCGAAGATTTGGCTTCCTGGCCCTTGCAATTATTAGAACGCAAAGAATCAAAAACCCGGCTTTTGACCTCTCGCCCTCTAAACTGTTTTCTTGAGGTATCTAAGGGCAACGGCTTGTTATACCCTAAAACATGTTTCTTCCCACTTGTGATCTCAAGTTTCTTCATAGCTGAACAAATTTTTCCCACAGGACTACTCCGCTCCATTGAAGCCTTGGTTCTCACAGGCTTCTTCGGAGAGTGAAAGACCAGAGCTTTGGCTACCGGCCTATTCTTTGGGACCACAATGTTCTTCAGTTTGGGGTTCCTAACACTTTGAAATGTTTCTGAATTTGAGACGGGCTTCTGATTTCTTTGAGTAGTGAGAGCCTTGGACACAGCAGTCGGTTTCTTTGCTTTAACATTTGGTGTTGCACAGATCTTATGAAGAGGTTTTCTGGCTCTATTTTCGGTATCAGCCATCTTATGAGAGAAGGAAGAAATCAGGGCCAACCTTGATACTCGAGGCTTGGAGGATTTTGCAGGAGCTGTAAGTGGGCATTTCAAACTAGAACATAGCAAACAAAAGGAGCATGGAATTGTTATAAGACCCATCACAAAAGCAGGAAAAGGAATTGTAATTTGACCAACTGAGAGCTTTTCTTTTGCCAATATACCTTGGTGCTTTTCTGGCCAATGCTTTTCTAAGTTTCACATTAGGACTTCTTGCTGCCATAACCTGCAAACCTCCAATACTTTCATATCTCAATAAAGTGAACTAATGTGATTCCAATTCAGACAAAACGTGGAACTTATAATCGCACCCGAAGAACGAAGTTCTTGTAAATTGCTTCAGAGTCCAATTCTACTTCATGCTTCTGATCACATCCTACAAAACAAACACCAACATACTCAAAATTTATTACCACAAAAATGGGGGCTTTTATACCAATGCCAACTAGATCAACCCATCAAAGTATTAAACTCAAATTAATGATCTTTAAGTCACCTAATTTAATACTTTATCCCCTCAATTTTCTCAGCATCCAAACACAGAGAGCTCCACTCAAATTAATTATCTTTGAGTTGATTTTGTTCATTTCCTAAAAACCCATCACCTAATTTAGTAATTTGTCCCCTCAATTTTTCTCAGCAACCAAACAGAGAGCTCCAAATCAAACAAATCAGAGTAGAAATTAAAATCAAAACAGAGTAAAAGCTAAAATCCACACTCAGTCAATCACAAAAAGAATTTCATCTTTAAGCTAAAAAATCTCAAAATTTGAAAGCAAACGAGCTTTTTCTGATTACTGAAAACAAAGGGAAGAAATAAAACTTATGGGATACTGGGTTAGATTGAAACGAACCGACTCGCATGCAGAACCAGTACCGGTCGTCGGGTCGGTGCGGGTCGGATTCGGTAAAATCAACGAACTTGGGGGCCTGGATCTTCTCGTAGAACTCGTCCCCGCCTTCGTGGCCGCCTTCAATCCCCACACTCTGAGTTTCTTCTTCCATTTCCGCAGAGCGAACGAGAGAGGGAGAGAGGAGGAGTGTGCGGTTGCGTGAGCGGCAGCGGAAGCGAGATTTGGTCAGAGAAGGAGAGTTTGAAGAGCGAAGGAGTCGTTAAGTTTTAAATTTGGCTCTCTGTAAGTAGCCGTTGGGGAAAGGTTCTGATTTTCGGACAACGAGGTCACTGAAACGGTCTCTCAGGGGTGGTTTCGTCATTTGGTCTTCCTGCCGCCAACTATCGGATCTACCAACGGGTTTGCCAGTTTTGACACTACTGCGTGTGAGGCCCAAGCCCACTTCGTTACGGTTAGTCTACTGTATTGCACGGACGATGATTTTGTAATGCAATTCGTTCATGTACGAGTGTTTTCCAATTTTTGTTTCAAAATTTCGGAACCAGATCAGATTGGATCACAATTTTTAAATTTAAAATTTTTGGCATATTCGGAAATTTTATAATTGGAGTAATCTCGAAAATTTGAGAACATAATTTAAGATATTTTTTTAATCTTTGAATATTCCCTAACTTTATCGTACATAAAATATATTATTCTTTCTTAATATTTGGTATATGCTTATGTATGATTTCAATTAATTTTGTGGTATACTAATACTATATGTCTCCGCCAATATTGGAGTGAGCCGATCAGTTGCTTTGCTCATTAACAAATTTACGAGTAATATTTGGTATATGCTTATGTATGATTTCAATTAATTTTGTGGTATACTAATACTATATGTTTATCCTTTTTAACATATAAGTGTGTGTTTAATATAACAACAATGAACAAAATGTATCAAAATTAACAATAAAAAAAAATTGATTACAAAATATATAGTTCAAGTAAATAACTATAAACAATCGTAATATTTCGGAACAAAAAAATTCAGATTCAGAATTTTCAAAATCTCTAAATGCATTCCAAATTCTATTCCAATTTTTTGACAAACATTTAGATTAAGAATCTTCGGTTTCAAATTCAAAAATTTTACTATTGGAATCGGGTGTATCATTCCAACTTGAACCCCTACGAGCACCCATAACAACCTACCTTGACACAGTAATAGGACATCCACAAGGCAGACACCAACTTTATTACAATATTGGCAATGTAATTATGTGTTATTACATGCCACTTAATACATTTAAAATTCGTGAATACTTCAATGTTATTCTTCTCAGGATTAATTCACCAACATCCCTGAACTTTTTTGAGTTTTCACAAATCTCCCTCATATTTGAAACACTACACAGCCCTTCATGTTTTAATCCACTCTCACAAATACCCGTCGGCCAAAAATTCACCTATAAAAAGACAAATCTATGTTTTTGTTGTCACTACTTTTGTTGCCATGTGCTAATCCTAAGCATATCTCAGATTGAGGCGTGACGTATATAGTTTAACATAACATTTTTTAAAAAAGACAATAAGATTTTTTCCTCGAACACTTGTGCAGTAACAAATCCACAATTTTAATTCCAAATGAACCCAATGTAAAAGATTCAAGCTTTCTTTAAATGAAAATATTGTACAGTGCTCAAATTTTATTTTATTTTTAAGTGAGGCATTTTCTCGAGCACTTGAGGTTTACATGTAGTCATATGATGAGCCAGTTTGGACATTTGTCCATAGATACTGACAACTTCGGAACGAGCCTGTCTACATATGCCAGCAACTTCTGAGCGAGCATATCGATAAATATCGATCAAACCCTATTGAATTCGGTTGACGTGTACTCTTAAGTGCTTTCGACACGTCCTACCAAAATTTGCCGAGAAGATATTTCATCCAATACTTAAAGCCATAATAGACATTCGAATGATTCCTAAAGAACCTTCCTAGGTTTAAAAATAGTAGCGATGCAAATGGGTGGATTAAAAGCTCTCGGCCCTAATGGTTTCTAGGGCATTTTCTATCATTCCTTTTGGGAGAATGTGGCGGTGAAGATTAATGGTGTGATTGAGGATATTATGAACGACAATGGCAATCCTCTCAAAATCAATGCTACACTTGTTGTTCTAATCCCAAAAGTCCTAAACCCGGATGCAGTTTCTCATTTCTGTCCAATCAGCCTGTGCAATTATTCTAATAAGATTTTGTCAAAAGTCATGGCAAACAGCATCAAGCCCTTGCTTTTGGAGTTGATCTCCCCTTCACAGAACGCATTCGTGGCTAGAAGACAAATCCAGGACAATGTTGGGATTGCTCACGAGCTATTCCATTTCCTCAAAACTTGGAAAGCCAGGAGGAAATTCGAACTTGGAATTAAACTTGACATGCACAAGGCGTATGATAAGGTGGAGTGAGATTTTTTGATGGAAGTTATGGAGAAGATGAGGTTTGATCCTAAGTGGCACAGCCTTGTCTTGGGGTGCATTTCAATTGTAAACTTTGCTATTATACTTAATGGGCAAATAGGTTCGAAATTTGCTCCCTCTCGTGGCCTTCGACAAGGTGACCCACTATCACTATACTTGTTCCTGTTCGTAAGTGAAGTCATCTCCTTGTTGATTTAGAGGGCGAGTGAAACAAACAAGATCACTGGAGTTCAAATTAATCCTCGGGGGCCGGTTATTTCACATATCTTCTTTGCGGACGATACCTTAATTTTTCTAAAGACAGATAAGACGAATTGTTCCAATATGGTGAATCTAATCAATGATTATTGTGAGGCTTCTAGGCAGCATGTTAATGTGTTGAAGTCCAGTGTATTCTTTGGCGCAAATCTTCCTATTACCTCAAGAGTGGAACTCGGGGGAATTTTGGGGATGCCTGCCATCTGGTGGAGAATCCTGGGATTTATCTAGGTGTGCCCGCCATCTGGGGAAGATCTAAGAAGAGAGGATTGTCATATGTTAAAGAAAGGGTTTTGGGGAAAATTTAAGGGTGGAAACAATCAACTTTATCATAAGCAGGAAGGGAAATATTGATAAAAGGTGTGGTTCAGGCTATTTCGGCCTACCCGATGAACATATTTAAATTCCCCGCCAATGTTTGTAATGAATTGGACTCTATCATTTCAAATTTTTGGTGGGGCCACAAAGGAGACGAGCGGCACATTCACTAGATTTCTAGAGATACTTTGGGCTTACCTAAGGTCATGGGGGGTTTGGGGTTCCCCAACTTCAGGGACTTCAACAACGCCTTCCTCGCTCAACAATGTTGGAGGTTGATTCATGATCCTAATTCTCTATGGGTTTGGGTTCTGAAAGCTCGATATTTCCCTCACTGCTATTTCTTTGACGCCAAGTGTGGTGGAAGAGCTTTGTGGGCTTGGTCAAGCTTACTTTCGGGACGAGATCTACTACTGAAGGAGACCCATTGGCAAGTATTGAATGGGAAAGAGGTTTGGGTTTGGATTGATAGATGGCTCCCCACTCTACCAGATGGACACCCTCTTCCACATGGTGCTACATAGGTGAGTAGGAATACTCGGGTGGAGGCTTTATTGTGTCCTGCAATTGGAGGTTGGGATATAGATTTTCTAAAACCATTCATTTCGTCAATGAAGTATGATGCCATTTTGGATACTCAGATTGGTGATCCTAGTTTACGAGATAGGTTGGTTTGGCCTCATGATAGACGAGGTATTTACTCAGTTAAATCGAGCTACCACTATGTTCATGCGAGGGTTGCTCTGAGGGTCAACTTGGAATCGTCTTCCTCTTTGTCTGTACCAGAAAATACATGAAAAATTATTTGGAAGCTTCATAGCCCCCTAAGATTTGATACTTCAAATGGAAGACAATGCATAATGTTGTAGCTACGTCGGCGGGCCTCTTTAGGAGAAAGTCTGCTACCTCACCGCTTTGCCCCTATATGTAAATCTCATGAGGAGGCCATTAAGCATCTCTTTCTTCTCTGCCCATGGGTGGAATTGGTATGGTTTGGTGGTATGTTGAACTATAGGGTTAATCGGAATGCTATCACAACTTGGGTGAATTGGCTTCTTACTCTAACTAATTCCATCAGGAATTCGAAGGTTGAGTTGGATAGAATATTGTCCTATGTTGCCTTCACATACTGGCAAATTTGGAAAGCTAGATGCAATTTCCTTTTCCAAAATCAACCTATTAACCCGAGACAGGTGCTCGCAGCCATTGTAACTACTGCCAGTGCTTTCCAGGAGGCCTCTCGAGTCCCGGTGTTGATTTTTACACAGGCTAGCCCTGATGGCAGGTGGGAGGCTTTTCCAACACTGACGAGGTGCAAGTTGCTTAGGGAATCCTTTCAAGACTGTTGCTGGTATTGGACTCCAAGATCAGCCAATATGGCGACGGACCTCTTAGCGTTGCGAAGAAATGTGGAGATGTGTGACTTTACTTGGGTCGATAGGCCCCCATCTTCACTGGTTCATGTATTATGTAATGATGGACTTCCCTTCCCTTCCCTCCTTAATTTAGTTGTGGTAATGGAAGGGGTGACGCCTTTAGTTATGCTTGATGCATCTGGTTCCCTCATCCCCTTGCATTAACCGGTTTATTTCTGTTGCTTGCCTCGTTGTAGGCCTCATTATGTACTTTTAGCATCTTTACCCTGGTTATTATACATTTCCAATTATCAAAAAAAAAAAAAAAAAAACAAAGAACCTTCCTAGGTATTAATTTGGTTCCAGAATCATTTGGTCCCTTTGATAGATCAGCCCGTACACGTGTAAGTAAAAAATAAAACATCCTCTAATCAAGTAAAAAGTAACTATTACGTGGTTTATAGCATAACTGATAGCTTATTTCATATCATATATAAGCAACAAAGGTATTAAAAAACTGTAGTTGCTTGGACTTCGCAACTATTCTTAGTCGTCTATGTATATTGCCATCTTCTTGGTGGCTAGATATCAACTTCAAGGAAGCAAAATAACTATAGTTTCATCAAAGACCTTGCCGGTTCCTTCCTTCTGACCTAGTCCATCTCCCACCTCTGTGTGGCTGGACAATATAGAAATTAACACCAGAACTTAACGATGTCTTCTTGTATACATCCACATCATCTAAAATATATATCTCAAAAAAAAAAGAAAAAAAGAAAAGAAGAAATACAAATCACTAATCACCAAGAGGCAAGAGTGTTAAATTAATTTGACATTTCTTTGGAAAAAAAAAAGAAAAAGAAAAAGAAAGTTGACTTGATATTTCATGTGGGTTATATGT